GGGGGGGGAGGAGGGGGGAAATACACAAACACCATGAGCTCTACCACAAAGAGCAATCTTAATAAGGGCTAAAGGTAATTGCCATTATATTACCTCAAATGTCATGGAATAAATATAAACTAGGAAGCTCTTCATAGGTCAAAAAACTGATTTCAGTCCATAGATTACAATAATCTCCCCCATAATGGTCAATAAAAAAGCTAATCAGTCAGTGTGTTTAGAGGTGTTGCTCTGAAATGTAGCTTCTCTAAAAATTACTTTACTGTGAATATTAAGAATGACAGCACAGTTAAACAATCCATATACATGTCTTGGCACAAACACATCCAGAATTTTAATAGTTTTTCTTCAAAATGGAGTTCCTTTTAGAGATTCAAAACTGGGACTAAGTAAGTATGAAAATTAAAACTACAAATAGTCACAATAACAGAGCATTTTTAATTAAGATACCCGGACAACCTTTTAATTTGAGAAGACAGACAATGGTTCTTACTTGTAAAAAGACAGGGAAAATGCACAGGGAAAATTATGACTTTGGAGAAAAATAATAAAAACCTAATCTATTGAGATTCAATTTATTTCAGATTCAGAAAACATTTGCAATACTCACATTAGCAATCTTCTATTAAAGTCCAGATAAAAGACTAGAGCTATTTTCCTAAATTGAAGAATAGTTTTCCTCAAAAGACACCCCTTCTGTAATTTAAATCAAATTTAAAATCCACATAAATAGAAATGGATCAGTTTGTCAGGGTTTATCATCAGAGAAATGCACTGTGTTTGCACCACGCAAACCTTGCTTGCTGAAAAGCAAGTAAGCAGAGCGAGTATCCTTGCATATTAATCATTTGTATTTGCTAAGTGACACAATTTGTGAGCATATTTGAAATAGAATAGGCTGCCACATTCCTTTACACAATGAACATTTACCAAATTATTTTGGCAGTTGTACCTTTAAAAGGAGACTCAAGCAATGGGGCAGGTTTCTGTGCCAGAAATATTTTTTTGGCATATTTACTTAAAGCTCCACTCCTCTCATTGGGAACAATAAGCTGCCTAATAAATCTTGTACGGTCTCTGATGTCGTAGCTTTGATCATACTTGCCGAGATTTAATACGTACTGGGTAAGCAATTTTGTCTGTGGAAAAAAACAGGACAAGAACAGAATACAAGTTATTTATGATTATTGATAACTCTGGATAAACATATTTAAAGAGGTAATAAAAATGAATGGTTATGTCAAACAAATGTTGTTCCACAGGGAATATGCATTTCTAAAGCTGCAAATGGAATTCTGCAGCCAAAGCACATGTCCTCTTCTGTATTGGGGAGGTGAATGCTGAGTACTGAGAAGCAGCCATGTGCTAGATTATTAAACTGCTGAAGTGGAAAGAAAGGCATCATTAAAAAAATAATCATATATGGCAAACCCGCTGAAGGGTCTACGTGAGGATAATGAATGTGGAAATACAACTAAAAACATGGCACTCAAAACTTAATCGGAAAAATATGCAGGACATCAAAACATCAGAGGGTATTAGGGGGCTGGCAAACTGCTTCTGCTGAGGTGTGTTTTATGAAGAGATACTGTCCCTGGCATAAGCAGTGTCTGCACTCTGACTGCACTCAGTTACTTTATCCTGAATTATGACCCATTAAAGCAGACACATGAATCACTGAACTGGATTACTGCAAATTATTTGCAGTGCATTTAGCTGTTACTTTTTCATAAAAGCAAGCTGCTGATGCCCTCTAAAAACCAGGATAAAAGACTTCTTCCATTTTTTTTCTTGAAGCTTAAAGCCTCCAGTAATATCGGTCATTTATTTATTTATGTAAGAGAGCAACTTATATTATCACAGCTTTTTACAGCATAATAGGACTTCCTAATTTGATGTCTGAGAATATTAACATGTATTAAATAACTTTAATAATTCAGTTAAATTCGTAAAACTAAAAAAAGAATATAAAAAAAATCAGGGAGACTTTCCCAGTATCTTAGAAATAATGTAATGCAACCAGAAGAGTAGTGCTGAATGGACTTGTATCCATTAGATGTATTTGAAAATAGCATGCCACTTTCTTTACCTATAAGCAAACAGGAAAAAGACCAAAAATGATAAACCATCGTAAGGAAGTGAATTTTTACTATTTCAACTCAGAATGGACGAACAACACAGGGTTAAAAATGTACTGTCAAGGACGATTTCTTTTCTTTATACAAAGAAACAACCTTGCATATATAACTTGTTTATCATGCGATTGCTGTAACAATAACACAGTTTCAATCATGTGAGCAGTTAAAAAAAAAAAATTCAGTCGATTTTGTTATGTGCAATTTCCTAAGAAAAGTTCAGTTTAATAAGGGTGCAAGTTAGTTTTTTCTAAAGATGCAAAAATACTTTTTCAAAATATTAAAGTCTGTAAGTGAAATACACAGTAAACAAAAAATGGTTTTAATTTTAACCACATACAATTCAACGTATGCAAGCATTTCACAAAATACCCTATGGTACCAAAGATTTGAAGAAATTAGGCCCATTACATTAGAATAATAGTAAAAGCATAGTTAAAAAAAAAAATCTCAGTGAAAAATTTTACATTTCTTTTTTCTCCCTGATACCCAAGGGTAGCTCTGCGAAAAGATATTTTTTCCACCAAGGTACTGTCTTAGCTCTGGGAAAAGGAAAATTTTCCCATACATGTTTCAGAGCCTATTGGCAGCTATTTCTGTATCAGGGTATAAAATTTTAAGCAACTGCACCAGACAGAACATACGTAATCTGTGCTCATGCAGGATGTATGCTGTTCAATTTAAATGGAATTGGAAGGGAGGGTTCCCAGGTAGCATGAATTAAACTAAATGAGGGATACCTCCTGCAGCCTTTGCCATCACTTCTCCTCTGCAAAACAAAACAAGACTTCTTGCTGTCATGGCAGAAAGCTCAGCAGAACGGATTATAAAACACAGTGGTCTTAGCTTGTCAGTGGCTACAGGGACGGGAAAAGTTGAGAGCCTTGCTGTCATGGTGGGCACTTTTTCAGTGAGCGTTGATGGAATCAGATAAAGAGTTGATCCTGAAAGACTGCATTTTCTTTAATGGGATCATTTTCTCCATGATCATTTCCCTTTTCCTCCTCCCTTTCCTCTCCCCTATAATATCTTTTCCATATCCAATACAAATAAAGACACAACAAATTTATATGGAAGGATGCTCCCTATCTGCAAGAAGTCTCTTTGCAAGCATCATACATAGTGTAAATCGTTTTCATGAAAACACAAGAAAGCACTGTTTTTTTTCTTGTCTTATGGCAACGCAACCAAACAACTAAGCAAAGCTTTTCTACATGGAGGTAGCTAATAGAAACAATTAATTTTAATTAAAAACAAAAAATAAACTAATGAATACACATCAGTTTTTCCATAAGAAGCTGAAAATTATTTCAGCAAGCATGATAATTTGGTGAAATATGACAGAATCTGCACACCATGACTGCTTCATAGAAAAGTAAGACAATATATTCTGATATATGATATAATACATTTATTATCATATGTCAACATTGCCTGTTATCTGGACATGCTCATTATATAGGCATAATATAATTTCTTTTATCCCCACACTGTTAGAATCTATTACTAATTTTTGTATGTTTTGGTTTGGCTAATATGAAAAGTGTACTTAAAGTCGTCCTTCAGCAACTTTTCTAGAATTTTCTAGTGGCAATAGTTCTATTTAAGAATTTAACACCTATCCTATATTAGCAGCAATTAACCTTTTGGTAAATCCCCACTTGAAAAATTTTATAAAATTTTATAATACGAGTATCAGCAACAGATGAGGGTCTGCAATGGGAGAGAAACAGCTTTTTGATATCATTAGTTTGCAGTAACTTGATTCATTAGATCCATACGATAAGGCGATTGTGCTAAACCATGTTTGACACATCTATTTATGCACTAGGACTACTCAGGACTTTTTCTGGTGGGACTCCTACTGTATTGCATAACAGAAACCCATCAAAATCTCTTTATGCTTCCTGCCACATGCAAGAAACAGCTAAGGCAATTAGATGACATATTTTCCATATAACACTTTCTCTTATATGCGCTCCATTTAGACATCTATCTAGCAGATTCATAAGGATTTTTACATCCCTAAGTGATGAAAAAATGAAGCAAATTTACCAAAAGTAGACAACCAAAGGAAAGCCTGTTCTTATCAGATATTTATCCAGATAGGATTGAACCTGAAATTCTTCCTTAAATTATAAACAGTCTTTGAAAATTCATGGGATGATCACAAGATTTAAAGGATATTGGAAACTCTTATAAAAAATCCTGACTCTTAAAAAGCATTCCTGAGAATGCACTGCATTAAGTTTTCAAATATACGCCTGAGAAAATTATCAGCAAATAAAATAATATATTTACAGAAAGCAAAAAAATAACAAAGTCCTACAGAATTTTGTGCTTTTCTCCAAATGACTTAACAGATGAGTTTTACCTGCCTTTCCCTCACCTGGGGAAAGAGCTCTTTTCATCTGGTTGGTGTTGATTCTCTCTTGGCTATCCTACCACTACTTTTCAATAAAGGGACATTGCATCTTTGAGATTTTCACAACTCCATTGACTTTGGACAAAACTGATAAAGGATTCATAAAAGTATTTACATGGTGAGGTAGGATACAGAGGGAGAAAACATGGGGATGAGGAGAGATGGCCAGACTGGCAACTGAGCAGTCAACTGTACAAGATTTGCCTTCCAGCTTGAAAAATTAGACTGAAAAATGGCTGGATTTTTTAGGAACTGAAGTCACAGAAAATCCTGTGCTGTCCAAGCTATTGTAAGACAAAGAGGTCTAGCAGCCCAGGAAAGTGCATACACCTCTGACAATATATTTCTTCTACCTTTGGAAAAAAAAAATCTTTGATATTACAGCCTTTTACAGTAATAATTGGAATTACAGTGAAAAATTAGTGCGAAGATGCTATATTCCACAGCCAGAGAGTGATGAAGTTCACAGTGCTGTCATTGAGAAGAATGAGGCAGCTGGCACCTCTCATAGCTATTGTTTTCAGCTGCCTGGAGATCTAAGTTCACCCTTTTGTACTATCTGACATTTTCAGATTATCTTTATTACTAGACATGATCAAAATCCACCCTGTCCCACAAAGTAAAGTGAAATAGTAAGAAATACAGGAAAGGGGAAAGCAGTTACTATCTTTAAGACAAGCACTGATGGAAAGACATAACAAGGCGTTTTGCTGGCATCTCCTCTTAGATATCCTGAATAAAAAATGAGCAGCTTCTTGTTCAAATTGACAGTATTCCCTTGAAAATTCTGGTGTTAGGTCCAGAAAACAGCAAATCACATCTGGTAAATCTATTTGATATTAGTAAAACAATTTACAAATTTTTCCTATTTCTATGAATTAAAAAATCCACAATTTCCCGAAGAAAGAAAGAGGCAAAAAAGAGCGATCTCATCACTATATTCATATTTACAATCCAGAACATAGTCAAAGACTCATGGTTAGATTTAGTCTGTTAGATTTCTTGAAAACTGATGTTCAGCTTTTCTTCGTAAAATAATATGGACTAGTTTTGGTTACTTACAAAAAAGAAATCACCACTGGTCTACACAGACTGTAGGGAACCTACTGTGACCCTAAATACATACACTTCTGAGTTTAAGCTTACCTGCTTTGAGTTTGTTAAATAGAGTTTTGCACCCAAATTTAAGATCTGCAACTTTACAAGGTCATCTTCATTAGTGAAGCTCTTGGCTGTCTTTCTCAAAACATCAGGTGCGATCTTTGGAACCCGTTCACAGTATTCGCCAATGAGCCAGAGAATGCTGGCTCTGGCTACCGGAACCTGAGAAAACATTGTGCACTCTAAGTTAACACACTCACAGAGTACTTGCAAATTTGTATATGTCTGTGTTCAGTAACATGTTAAACAATACTGTTTAAAGACAACTGACATGCATGAAATACAGACCCAAATTACATACGGTTCAATACAGCCACTGTGGAAAACTGAATATTTGTACCAAATGCAAGACACAGATCCTGCCCCAAGCCCCACGTATTATGAGTTGACAAGACAAACAGAGCAGAAATGGAAATAGAGGCATGCAGAAGTGATGTGTTCATGTTCACAGCACAAGCTGGCAGCAGTTGGGAAGAGGATCCAAGTCTTCGAGGTGTGGTTGAGAGTTCTCGCCACCAGGTTACACTAAACACCATGTTGAAACAAAACAGTGCTTTTTTGTAAATATATTAATATAGAAGTGGTTTCCAACAATACAACTTCCTGAAATCCTGCCTATCTACTTTAAAAGCACAAGGATTTCTTTAAGACTATCACTATCTTTCCTTCATTCTTATTTAAAATTTTATGACAGTTTCATATTTTTGCAAATGTCCAAGGCCAGCTGAACAGAGAATTCTGGAGAGACAGGAGTTCAAAATTAGGGCTCTCAGTTTCTGAATAGAATCTAACCCCTTAACTGAAAACACTCTGACCAGAAGCGTCACACAGGTCTTATCATTTTGGAGCTACCTGACTGTTTCACTGAACTAACTGGCAGTAGCAGTTTTTAGATGAACTCCCAGTGTACAGCACTGACTTCAAAAGCACAGTACTGTCACAGACAGAGGGAAACAAAAGTGGGAAAGCACAGAAGGAAACAGAAGCTCATACTCCATGCACAGTTTAGCTAGAAGCAGTTAGGAGTTAAACGAAATAATACAAACACACTGTTCTATGATGATCTTTAAGGTCCCTTCCAACCTAAACTACTCTATGATTCTCAAAGGTGAGATAGCCTATATTTGAGCTGGTGCTCAAATTAAAAATTGCACCTGCGTTACATACCTCCCCAAAAACATTGTTCTCCTTCCTTGAGAGGAAGGAAGAAAGTACGCAATGAGAAAATTCTTCTAGGCAGAAGCATGTCTTGCATAGCACCTACAGACTAGGGTGCTCTCATGTCCTGTACAGACTCTTGTTCGACAGATGTTGAAATACAAGGGAAAAAACATAATTGTTCTCTCCTATCAAACGACGGACTGTAGTTTAGAAAAAAAGAAAGCTTCCAATTGTAACTGCAATTTCAGCTAATTTTGCTGCTTTTTATGAAAAAGTAAAAAACATTTGTACTAACACTGTCCATTACTCCCTATGTCATATAGTCATCTTTGTTTAATGACCATACACCTAAGCCAGAGTGAGTTCTGCCTTGGGTAAGATTCCCAGGAGAAACAAGCTTCAGAAATACAGTATTGTGGTTCTCAAAGCACTAATTCTTAGCACCTTTTGGATAAGTTTTAACTACTTTTCCAGTATATATCAGTTATTCATATATTAATATCTATTTCTCAGAATTACAATAGGAACCAACTATTAAGTATCCTACCTTGTATACACCTAAAATTTGAAAGCAGACTACCAAGGTTCAGGACAGAAATTCCAAAACTCTGGCCCACGATCCCTAATAAATGGCCCACTAAGCCATACTAAAGAAATACAAATTATGCCCAAAAGAAATTTTAATGATTAAACATGTCCTACTGCTCCAAAACATTTGGGAACAGCTTTATATACAGTCAACCTGACAATATCTGCCTCTATACTTCACATGGTTTCAAATACACATGCCAATAAAAATATAAACAGGCATGTCACAGGGAAAAGAGAGGATTGTCTCTGCTGAAAGAGAAAGCAGCCATATCACAGAAAGACATAATACAGGAGTCCAACAACAACACAAAAACCCCTCAAGAGATAAATGCCAATTCTAAACATGAAAAAGGTATTTAAGGTAGAGGTAACATAACGCATTGAGAATAGTATAGCACAGTGATTTGACATACATAAATATATGTAAATGCTGATTGAGACACAGATATTTTTTTTTTCTGGTGAATTGACAAAAAATTTAAATGGTCTTGGAACTTAGAGTGTGAGAGTGGGGAACAAGCTACTGAACAACTGCTAACTATAAAAACTTTAAATGCAGTCAGAATATGTTCGCTTGTGAAATGGTAAGACTGATGCCATTACTGTACACTGACTTCAGAAGGGAAAGTTTGGTGAAACTACATTAAGACCTCACTCCTAATCTATTATTTTAAATTGGGCTAAAGAATAGTAATTGAGTGGTACATTAAATTTTCCAGTATTGGAGCAGTTCAAGTTGCCTGCTGTACAGATAGATAGCTCTAAATAAGAATATATAGGCAAGTTCAGATTTCAGTTATGCTAGATTTTTTTTTTTTAAATATTTCATTACAGACTTGTTAAAATATTAGAATTCTACAAGAGATCAAGTACCACAGCCTATTAGAAACATCACTTTTCCTATTATTGTCTTTTTGCAAAGCAAAAATAGCTCACAGAGTCAACCAATTTTAGTAACACTATTAATTATGAAAGACTAACATTGGTATGGTACTTTTCCTAGTCAAACCCAGGACTACACTTTAAAAACACAATGAGATACATTCAAATACATTGAAACAGTGTGCATTTAAGCATAGTGCTTCACTATTTAAAGTTTCTTTTAATTATTAGATTAAGAACCTAGCTTTAGAATGTAAAGTAAATAGACTAAACTAAACTTGAAAAACAGCAACAACAGAAGATGTGACACTCTGCCTTTTAACCAGGTGGTTAGCTTACTATGTAAATACTGTATATATTAAACACAATTTTGTCAAACAAGAATCAATATCAATTAGAGACTTTTGAATCAAACCCTGAGTGGAAGCCATTTTAATGAAAAGTGTATGTTGAACTGATGAACCCAATGTTTCTGTGTCACTGGATTCATTTGGGGTCAAAATCACACAATATTTTCAGATTTCGTTTTCCTTGTTTAAGTCTTCCAGTCCTCAACCATGTAATTTCAAGTTCATGATCCTGCAGCCGTTGTTTCCAGGGCATTCAAAACAGCAAACAAGAAATGAAGCCACTTCTAGACCTTCATTGCCTTTTCCAGTATAGCTTAAGTAGGGACCTTGAATTGACAAAAATGCAGGAAATAATACTTTCATTATTCAGCCCTGCTCTGCATTATCCTCAAAGGCAAACAGGATTGTAAATGACTTTGCCTGATGTTTTATTCCATATGCCCTGAGCAAGTGGTTAAGTGCACTTTTCAAGCCTTAGTACCAGAAGGCAGCTTCTACTGCCATTTTAACCCATTACCTGTCTGGAGGAAAAGAAATAAATGGTTAAAAAATGAAAAATAAAAACCAGCCAGACCCTCTCCCCTCAAAGCAAGACTCTGGTTACTTACAGCAGTTAGAAAAAGACATTATAAAGATTTTACAGGTCACCCTAAGCAGCACAGTTAAAAAACTATTGTAGTTCAGCTCTAACCTTTTTACACAACATACTAGGGTAAAGTAAAATTTAAATCACCAATTCTGGTTATCCACATTTGTCACAAAACAAGGAGATATTCAAATTGCAAATGAGGTCTAATTCTCTGTATCCAGGAGAAAATTTGGATGGCTAGCAATTTTTAAATTTTACTTAGAATCAGAAATGGAAAGAGGGATGAAGTTGATGTGAAATGTCAGACTGGCGGCAAAAAGAAACGGTACACAGGAAACAACAGAAGTAAAAGAAAACTGTTTTATTGTTTTCAAATGGCAGACCTTCAAGGACTCTCCATTATTTGAATCTCTACACATAAAATTCCTTTAAAAAAGGATCTCCACTGACAACTGCCACCTCTTATATAGTATACAGGTTTTGTTTAAATTGTGTTTTATTCAAGCTGAGTATTTGTTTCAAGTTCAATGTACAGTGTCCCTGGACACAATGTCCCAAAGGCCACATATTCCTCTTAAATTCTAAAACATTACTTAGATATTAGAGTCAGTAAAAAAATGATCAAATTACAAGAATTGTTCATTAAGGCATTACTTACAGAAAGGTTTAAAAATACATTATTAAAATGTATCCTACGGAAAAGAAGGTAGCTAGAATCTGAAGCCTGCAGAACTGAAATATATATGAACATATGAATATCACACCTTGTGATACCTTCCCAACATTGAGAGAAAAGAGAACTTAATTAAAGCAAGCAAGCTGCCTCTACTGTGAAGCTATACCAGAAACATATGAATAAGCAGTATTTATGTAGGAATACTGCAGAGGAACTTAAGTTTGTTATTGTCTGATGAATGGACAGAGCAGTGTCAAAAACTCCCAGTCACCTACTCTAGTAGTAAGAATCCCAACCCAAACCAATAATTTGTAATTCTTAATTGCGAGTGACATGTTTTGCCCCGCATATTAAGCTATCAAAGTTATATGCACCTATTCTTATTTTTCCTCTAAATTTGCAACTCCTTTTCCTGTATTTATTCCATCAAGAAATGTTCCTCCTCATCTCTAGATTACAAAACACTTCAGACTTCTCTCATATTCTAACTTAAATTCTAGAAGGAACTAGAAATAAGTCTGTAATGAAAACCAAGGATGTCAGAATTCACCAGCTATCAAAATAAAAAACCCTTGCCTTAGTACTACTGTAAGAGACAGTCTGGAGAAGTATCACACCAGAACGACAAGATTCCCATCACCCAGAAAACAATCACTACTGGGTACAATGTAGCATCATAAATTATTTTTCTAAAAAGAAACAGGCAGAAACTAATTTGGAAACTTCTGCAGCTTGTTTATATGAGGAAATACACAAATGTAGAACACCATTGAGACATTCTTACTCAGAGCTAATTCTTGCTAGGTTGATTTACATTCATTCATTGCTAAAATGAATTAAGATAAATCAAAAGAGGCGTACTTCGAAAGTAAACAAAAGTGTCTTGTGTTAATTCAGTTTAATCAATGCAGTCTAACCTATCCACTTTGAAGTATAATTCAGATTAAATCTGCAAGTATTTGCACGTAGACAAATTCCGGACCATAGGTGTTTTGAAGGAAAGATTTTCTAAAAAGAGCAGACTACAACTGTACGACACATATTTGACAAGAGAATATTCTAAAAGCTTTTGCAAAAGCCCCTCAGCAACATCTTTGAAAATGTCATCCTTTACAGGGTGGAAAGGCACGCTTACAAATAAAAAAGGACTAGATAACAGAAAAGACAAAAACCCAGCTACAATGGAAGGCAATCATCAGATGTCCCACAGGGACCTACAGGGGAAAACATGCTGTTCCAACAGATTTGCAAGTAACCTAAAAGAGGGCTATCCAGTGAGGAGAGTCAATTTTGCTGACACAAAATTATTCAAGGTAATCCAAACCAAAATAGAGCCTGAACAGTTGAAGATGACTTACTAGTGGTACTTAAAAATTGCGCAGAAGTTATGCAGCTGGCCTTGAAACATTAATAACAGCACAAAAAAAAAAAATAAAAATAACCTACACATACTGATGGGACCCCAAACTATTTCTAGGGAAAAATATCTTGGAATCACAAATATTTTCAGAGAATTATAGAACTGTTAAGTCAATGTTCTGTGGAAGTCAAAAGGCAGACAGAAAGTGAGACAAAACACACAAACCAAGTAATATTGTTATGTCACTGCATAAAATTTCTCTTTCGTACTCCAACTACCACATACATTTCTGGTCACCCCACTTTACAAAAGTATCAGAAAACACAAAGAGAAGAGGGAAAGGCTGATCAGAGATATGGAATATGAGGACAGATTAGAATTTTTAGATTAGTAAGCATGATGATGTGGACAGCAAACTCAAGCTTCCGGTCAGTTGCTAAGAAGGTTCATCGGAGATGCATCACAATGAACTTGCTCTTATGTTTAAATCCCTCTCCTTAAAGCATTGCCATGAAAGACTTTTAGGCACCTCATCACTGACAACCACAATCTCAGGCTAACACAAGTGACATTTATAAAAAAATGAATGAAATCTTCAGGCACCAACCCAAAAATGTATTCCATCCAGTTTACGCTGATTTTGTTTATTTTGGTGGCTGAGTGTTCACCATTTACCTAAACTAAATCATGACAAAAGACAGTCATATGCTCTTACATAGAGGAACAGGGTAGATCCCTTAAGTTTCGATCCCAATTTAAAAAAAGGAGTCCAGAAATACTTTCCCCAACAGAAGACGTCAAAAAAAAAAAAGAATCTGTGTAAAATATGTGTGTACAAAAGCGTGTGTGTGTGTATGTATATTGTACATCAGCATAATAAAGGTCAGGAATCCTTGTTTGTGTCTCAAAGTCTTACAGCAGACAAAAAACAAAGCAAGTGTGTTATGTCAACTCACAACCACTATTGCCATAGTAAGATCAACGTTTAAAAAATACAAGTGCAGATCTCAGGAATTCCAGTAATGCTTTACAAAAAGCCAAAGTTTCAAATACAGATCCTCAGTAATCATATAATCCAAATACCACCTTCCTAAACATGTAAAAATATGTATACCCTTCCCAGAAGTGACTGAAGGAGTTCGGGGATTGGACTAGATGACCTTTAAAGGTCCCTTCCAACCCAAACCGTTCTGTGACTGTGAAGGAATACGTCCATTTTCAAACATAATGGGTGCAAGCTACCCAGGGTAATGATATCGCATTCAAATCCCAAATATGAACTTCTTCCAAATTTATTATTTAATCCAAAGCCCTAAACACAGTGAGGAAGACAAATTTCTGGAAGTTGTCATTAAAAAATTAAAGGGGAAAATGTAAAACAAGATGTACAACAATCATCCTGGAGAGCCTACAATATCACTATCACTGCTTGCCTCTTGGATAACAAGCAAGATTCACATTCAGGTTTTGATTTTTAGTTTATTTCTATGACTCCTCTGTTCCACAGACTGTTCTCCTACCACTTACCATTTTCTGATATTCTGTACAACCTCATTATTGGAGAACATGAGTCTGTCAAAGTAGTTAAAGTACTGCATGTCTTTTTTTCCCCCTTACTCAACTTAAAAAAAGGATTTTCTTTTCCAAAAAAAATTCCCGTATTTAAAACTTGAAATACTTACTCAGTTGTATTAATTGTATAAAATCACTACAAAACTCTTTTAAGTGTTAAACAGAATATTTAGAAAACAACTATTTTCTCTCATACATGTGGAAATAAGATGACAAACTCATTTAGCGAAGTGCCAGAAGACGCATATAGTAACACTACACACAATTCATGAGATTGTAATTATCAATCAAAATATTGCACAAATCTTCTGCAAATACAGATTATTATAAAATAGGTAATACTTATTTGATACGTAATTAGCAGCAGTATCTTATAACCTCTTTTGATTCCGGATATAAGGATTCCTGTAGAATTATATTTTCTTTACATCAGTTACGAAGTTTGATCATCAGCTCTTAGCGGCCAAAGATTTATTTGCTTAATGTGTTCAGTAAGCATGAACTGAGAAGACCACATTTCCTTTTTTTTTTTTTTTTAACATTCTGAACTTTGCCAAATTCAACTATGAAAAATAGAAGATTCACTGATTTAGAAACTATTTACTGCTCCGTCATCAATTAATGTGTAATTATATGAAACTGAGCAGTCTATTTATAGCATCTACAGAAAAATAATTATTGACAGATCAGAATCTGTCACCTTTGGGGTATGACGTAATAGGTAGCTAATGGATCTTCAGCCTTCCGCTATAACTTAGGATAGACCGCTAAACGTTTTATCAATACCCAGGACTGTGAGGAGAATTTGGGAAGTAAATATTGACATACCTAAACATCAATTTAATCTAAGGATACATAATAGGCAATAGTGCAAATTTTACTGTTAAATGCCACAATCTTAAATACCCAGAAAGACAAAAATGCAACTTCAAAAAACATTGCAACACACTCGCAGCCGCATGCCTGGTGCCATGGAAATGTCAGGTGACTGGGGGGAAGGGAAAAAGATTGAGAATACAATTTTTTAAACTCCACCCCAGGTCAGTAAGACAGCAGGCTAAAAATCCTCAAGTTAAGCGCTGCTTTGCCCTTATTTTCATTTCAACTTACCTACTCCACATTCTAAACCTGCTACTCATCTTGGCCTAATGGTACTAGCAATATTGAACATTTCAAGGATCTCTTTCAAAATAGCTTCCCAGATCTAAGGCACAAATTGATGCCATCACATACCTTCCACTTCCTCCTCCTTAAGATCATGAAAAATGATTTTTTACGCCAAAAGTAAAGAATTGTGTTATATTTCTCTAATATATTTATTTCAACTTATGGCACAACTTAAAAGGAGATGGTGTAATTTCTACCAGTTAACAAGGAAAATAAAATGCTGTGAACAAATACTCACTGTAATGTTATCCAAGAGTTTGGCCATATGTTTAATAATGTCACCATGGTGTGCTGGCTGGGTTTGCAGCAGTTTCTTAATGACAACAACACTTTCAGCAACTACAATTTCTGTTTAAGACAAAACAAATTATGAATTTTAGAAGTATTTATTCAAAAGAAAAAGCCATAAATAATTGATTGTAAAAGATGTTATCAGCTTTCAAAATATGCATTGCAGAACCAAATTCCTTTCACTTGGTAACAAAGATGTAAACCACTCTACTAAGTAGTACAAGTTCAGCTTCCAGAATCACGTTATAAGGAGCAAAAAGAGGAGAGAGAAATGTTCTAAATGTAAAAATATCATTCTATTACATACTTTTTTTTTTAAATTGCCTTTTAGTAAAGCTGCACTTTGTATTTTTCCTTTTCCAATTGGGGAACAGCATGAAAAAAAATGTGCTTTTCATTGAAATTATGCATATTCATAAGTAATTTGCTGTCTGCATTAAAAATACAAGCACTTGTTTAATTTTCAAAGAAATATACCATGTTAAAAGTAATAGCTCATTCATAAACAAGAGAAATATCTAAACATTTCTTTTGCACTTTTTCACCTTCTAAATGGTCTCTCAGATCTGTAACCTAATCTCTAGAACATTCAAACAAAGATTCTAAATAGCAATGTGTTCTAAGATTTATGCCAAAGTCATGCACTGGAGTACTTAACTACTGTAACAAGTAACATTCACAGCCTGATCAACTTGTATGAAATGTACAATTTTTGAAGCTGAAAAAAACCCACTGGTGCAGAGGTAAGCTTCTATGCAAGAGCAAACTCATGCTGTAAGGAAAGATGAAGGAAAGTCAAACATGGCCAAAGCTGAAACCAAAACAAAGACTACTCTAAGAATTCAACGTAATTCTAATTTTCATTTATACTACAAGAAGGGAGTAACGATTTCTCCTAAACTATCAATGTTTAAAACAAAGAAAAAGCCTAACAGCCATTCGTTAAATATCAGAGAAGTATTCCTACATTTCAAGAGTTAATCTGACACACGGATCATCCACTGAGCAATCAAACAAGCTGAAGTTTCAAAAGAACACTACAGGAAAGAGATCTCAATTTTTTTAATTTTTTTTTTTTTTTAGAAAGTAAACTTCTTTATGGAGAAAGGCATTTCAAAAATCTCTGAGTATGCACCATTATGCTACAAGCCTCAGAAATTTTTAGCTTAATTTGTAGCTTACAGTTTTTTGTGTCATCTTTTATTTGACATGACATCCCAGTCATTTTTCTAAACTAATTTCTTGAAGCAAGGTTAACATGTCTGCTTCATGTATCTCAAGGTCTTGCACAATCCTACAGATCAATTTAATTTAGACTGTGTTTTGCTAGATATTAAAATAAGAAGACAATTCTCAAAATTTAAAAATTACAATCTGGAATATTTAGACTGTGGGACATTGTAATGACAACCTTCATCACTGAGTGTTTTGTGATACTGCTTAACAAGGAGAATGGTTAAGCAAAAGAAAACTAAACCCAAAAAACTGACCAGACATGAAGTCATTATTAAAAACACTTGTTGACAACGTAGAACTGATCATGATAAAATGAAGTGCAGTAGATGAAGTGTCAACATAGGAACTACTTTAATGCAATCTGTGGGAGCAAATTTAAAGAACAGAACTAGAACTGTAAGCAAGTAAACTGGTATGGTTCCTTTTATATGAGTCTAGATACCAGAAAAGAAAGTACAAACAAAAGCAAAATGAATTTGTATTAAAATAAGGACCGACATAGTCCAGAAAAAAAGACACATGCTTTGAGGCTTGCTTTGTGCACATGAAGAATCCCAAAAATGAGCATGAAATAAGAGACCCAAATCTAGGTTCAAAGACAAAAAAAAAAAGGGGGGGGGGGGAGGAGCTAAAATTGGCATTCTGAGTCAGCACTAAGAAAATTTTAAAATGTAACTCTGCTAGAATTAACAAAGAAAATGTGCACACAAGGCAACGATAAATGAACGCAAGAATTTCAAAACAGAGTGTAAAGTATATTATATCTAAAGGGTTTAAAAAGTAAGTCAATTTTTTAAAACAAAGACTAAATATC